TGTTGGAGAAGACTCTTGAGAGACCCCTGGCCTGCAAGGAGATCCAACCAGTCCATCCTGAAGGAAATCAGTCCTAAATGTTCATTGAAAGAACTGATGCTGAGCTGAAGCTCCAATTCTTTGGCCACCTGATGTGAAGGGCTGACTCATTAGAAAAGCCCCTGATGCTGGGAAAGATTGAGGTCAGGAGCAAAAGGGGATGACAGAGGATGAGATAGTTGAATGGCATCAGCAACTCAATGGACCTGAGTTTGATCAAGCTCTGGGAGACAGTGATGTACAGGGAAGCCTGGCATGCTGTAGTCCATGGAGTCGCAAAGAGTCAGAAATTACTGAGTACATGATCAACAACAGTGGACCAAAAAAACAAACAACAACAACAGTGGATGGAGGTTCATAACATTCTACAGGAGGCAGTGATCAAAACCATTCCCAAGAAAAAGAAATGCAAGAAGGCACAGTGGTTGTCTGAGGAGGCCTTAAATAGCTGAGAAAAGAAGAGAAGCCAAAAGCAAAGGAGAAAAGGGAAGATATACCCATTTGAATGCAGAGTTCCAAAGAATAGCAAGGAGACATAAGAAAGCCTTCTCAAATGAACAATGTAAAGAAATAGAGGAACAAAATGGAATAGGAAAGACTAGAGATCACTTCAAGAAAATTAATGATACCAGGGAACATTTAGTGCAAAGATGGGCAGAATAAAGGACAGAAATGGTAAGGACCTAACAGAAACATAGAGATTAAGAAGATGTGGCAAGAATACACAAAAGAATTATATAAGAAAGGTCTTAATGATCTGAATAACCATGATGGTATGGTCACTCACCTAGAGCCAGACATCTTGGAGTGTGAAGTTAAGTGACCTTACTTTGGCCACCTGAAGTGAAGAGCCAACTTACTGGAAAAGACCCTGCTGCTGGGAAAGATTGAAGGCAGGAGGAGAAGGGGACAACAGAAGATGAGATGGTTGGATGGCATCACCGATTCAGTGGATATGAGTTTGAGCAAACATGGGGAGATAGTGAAGGACAGTGAAGCCTGGCTTGCTGCAGCCTATGGGGTCGCAAAGAGTCGGACATGACCTAGCAACTGAACAACAACAAGAAGAAATTTGGCCAGGAATGGAGCTCATGTAAAGACAAAGAAGTAGGTAGTCAAAGGCATGGCAAACTCAAGGATGTACCAACCCTGCCCCCAGGATAGATATATAAACAGTGTTCAATAGTCTCTCCTCATTTCTGCCTCAGCCAGGCAAAGTTCAAATATGCCACCCTCATTATTTCATTCCTCTTCTTACAGATGTACATAGCTAATATGATCTTGTACAACAGGACCTACCTGCCTAGCATAGTGGCTGGAAGCCAGGATGCATCCAGTCAATATCACTTTGAATGAATAAATGGACTAATAGACATTTGCTCTCCTCTGTACTAACAATAAATACCTGACATTGTGTATATCAGGCTCTATGCTAAACTTTTCATCTGCATTATCTTATTGTATGGGCTTCCCTGATGTCTCAGTGGTAGAGTCCTCCTGCAATGCAGGAGACACAGGAGACGCCGGTTTGATCCCTGGGTAGGGAAGTTCCCTGGGAGAAGGAAATGGCAACCCACTCCAGTATTCTTGCCTGGGAAATCCCATGGACAGAGGAGCCTTGGAAGTTCCTGTCCATGGCATTGCAGAAAGTTGGCCACAACTTAGTGAATAAACAAGAACAAGAACAATAACAATAGGCAGATGGGTATTATTACTACCAGAAGGGGCAAGGGAGTTCTCCTGGGTCTCTTTTTTAAGGTCACTAATCCCATTACCCTCTGAAGAGAAGAATAAGAGGCTTATGGAAGCTTCCTGATGGGAGAGACTGAATGAGGGGGAAACTGGGTCTTGTTCTGATGGACGGGGCCATGCTCAATAAATCCTTAATTTTCTGTCAATGGGCGGGGCTGTCTTCCCTCCCTGTTATTTGACCTGAGGCCAGACTATGGTGGAAATAATAAAGATAATGGTGACCTCCTTAGAAAGGTCCCATGCTATACTCATTGCCCCCAACCCTGCAGCAGGCCACTGCCGACCCACGCCTCTGCTGGAGACTCCTGAACACTCACGGGCAAGTCTGGGTCAGTTTCTTGTGGGGTCACTGCTCCTTTCTCCTGGGTCCTGGTATGCACAAGATTTTATTTGTGCCCTCCAAGAGTCTGTTTCCCAGTCCTGTGTAAGTTCTAATGGCTCTATGGTGGGGTTATTGGTGACCTCTTCCAAGAGGGCTAAGACATACCAAGGTTTACGGCACCCAGAGCCCCTGCCCCTGCAGCAATCCATTGCTGACCTGTACCTCTGCAGGAGACACTCAAACACAGTTCTGTCTCAGTCTCTGTGGGGTCTCTGGGTCCTGGTGCACACAAGGTTTGTTTGAGCCCTCTGAGTGTCTCTGGTGGATATGGGGTTTGATTCTAAATGCTATTTTGCCCCTCCTACTGTCTTGCTGGGGCTTCTCCTTTGTCCTTGGACATGGGGTATCTCCTCAAAATCACTCCAGTGCCACACAGCCAACTTGTCTAACTCAGTGAAACTATGAGCCATGCCGTGTAGGGCCACCCAAGACGGACAGGTCATGGTGAAGAGTTCTGACAAAACATGGTCCACGAGAGAAGGGAATGGCAAACCACTTCAGTATTCTTGCCTTGAGAACCCCATAAACTACTATGAAAAGGCAAAAAGATAGGACACTGAAAGATGAACTCCCCAGGTTGGTAGGTCCCCAATATGCTACTGGAGATCAGTGGAGAAATAACTCCAGAAAGTATGAAGAGATGGAATCAAAGCAAAAACAACACACAGCTGTGGATGTGACTGGTGATGGAAGTAAAGTCCAATGCTGTAAAAAGCAATATTGCATAGGAACCTGCAATGTTAGGTCCATGAATCAAGGCAAATTGGAAGTGGTTAAACAGGAGATGGCAAGAGTGAACATCAACATTTTAGGAATCAGCAAACTAAAATGGAGTGGAATGGGTGAATTTAACTCAAATGACCATTATATCTACTACTATGGGCAAGAATCCCTTAGAAGAAATGGAGTAGCCATTATAGTCAACAAAAGAGTCTGAAATGCAGTACTTGGATGCAGTCTCAAAAGTGAAAGGATGATCACTGTTGGAGTTGGTGATGGACAGGGAAGCCTGGCATGCTGCAGTCCATGGGGTCACAAAGAGTCAGACACGACCGAGAGACTGAACTGAGTCTTAAGCATAAATAGCCTGTTGCTGTTTAGTTGTTAAGTCTGACTCTTTTGCTTTGTCTGACTCTTTTGTGAATTGTCTGATTCTTTTCTTAGTTGTCTTAGACAACTAATCAGTTAGTTGTCTGACTCTTTTGAGACCCTATGAACTGTAGCCCATCACACTCCTCTGTCCATGGGATTTCCAAGCAAGAATACTGGAGTGGGTTGCCATTTCCTTCTCCAGGAGAACTTCCTGACCTAAGGATGGTACCTACATCTGCTTTGCAGGCAGATTCTTTACCACTGAGCCACCAAGGAAGCCCAGAAATAACATACACTCAAACAAAATGCCTCAGATCTCTTTCAACCTAAGCTAGTTGGAAGAAGGTCACTTAGAATGTGAACTTAGGTCAGTTTTCAAAAGGAAGGAAAAGATCTCTCAGGTAAGCACTGTCTAGAAAGGCCAGATGTGGTTAGGGTGCCTCCAAAAGATGGGTCCAACAGCCCAGCTGTGTGCAGGAATATAATTTCCAAATTTAAAAATCAGCACACAAGGTTCAAGAAGCAGGTTGTTATTGTTTAAATTGAGGTATAAGATAATCTTATATCTAATCTTAAATGCATGCTAGAATATCTTTTTCATATGAATACAATCCAGTAACCCCACCCAGATCAAGATGCAGAATATTTCCAGCAACCTATAAGGTTCCCTGTACACACAGTGGTTTGTAGTCAACAAAGGAAAATGATTTAAAATCAGAACAGAAAGCCAGAAGGCAGGTAGGGAACTTTGAAACCTGGGCAGACTAAAGGCTGGATTGGGGGGAGGATATTAACTAAGAATGAGACAAACTCGAGTTTTGTATCCTCTTCATGGTGGGTATAGAGATCTTCTGTGATTCAATTCAGTATGCCCATTGATCCTCACAATGACTTTGCCATATAGTAAAGACTGAGCCCTCTTTTGCACCTAAGTAAACAGAAGCACTCACATTCAGAACTGAATGCCTAGAATTTGCACTGCGGATTCAGCCACGTGGCAGAGTGAAAGTTGGAAGGCTTGGCGTCAGGTTACCTAGCAGTGCCAATCCGGCCCGCCCATTGGCAGGCTTCCCAGGCCTCAGGTATAAAGGTTCAGGCCGACGGCCTTTAAACTTTACTGAACCCCGCAGGAGGAACTTTGATCTCCCCAGAGGCCGTGCACCTCTACAGTTTGGTGCCCCAGGCAGAACGGTGAGGAGACCTGTATGACGCTGGACCCCAGCTATATTAGGAGAGGCCATAGCCTTGCTTAACTCTCCCCGGGACTCGTCTGAGGCTCTTTGAGCTTAAAAGCGGGGAGCAAGCGGAATATCCTAGAAAGAATAATAATTATTTTAAATCTCTCTGAGGATTAGAATGCAATAATCCAAGGATTCAGGAAACTATTGCACAAGCATAGTGCCTCTTGGCACCAAGGACAACGCGAGGCAAACATGTTGAAAAGCTCTGACTTAGGGCAGCGAGGGCAGGTCTAGATTAAGGCAACAAACCCAAAGTGTACAGCCCTGAGGAATAGAGAAGACATCAGAGAAACACTGAAACATCTGTAATAGCAGCGTAAGGGGCAGTTTGCCGGCTTCCAAGGAAGGCAGGAGGAGCCACCCCGTAAGTAGAAGAGACCGGAGACCGGAGCTCCTGCGCCCTGCAGCGCTCACCCTGAGATCCGTGTGTGCTTGTGCGTTGCCGGATGACCAGCCCCAGCGGAGCTTCCTCAGGAACCGGCACCTGCTGCCTGATGTGGTGCCTGGAGCGGCTCCGCCTGGGACCCGAGCGCCTCCTGCGGGGCAGAAACCGGCTTTACCAGGATGCAGCCCGCCGAACCACGGCCCTCACGCCCGCCCGGTGCGCAAACGTGCTCACCCCGGACCGCATCCCCGAGTTCTGCATCCCCCCGCGACTCGTGCCCTGCCCGACTCTGACCGCAATCCGAGACTCCTGGGGAGAACAAGCAGGGACTGACGACGGCGCGGGCCGCACGGACTGGGACCCACGCTCGCAGGCCGCACTCTCGCTGCCGCACCTGCCCCGGGCGCGCACCGCCTACGGCTTCTGCGCGCTGCTCGAGAGCCCGCACACCCGCCGCAGGGAGTCGCTCTTCCTCGGGGGCCCGGGCGCCGCCGCGCTCCCGCCCGCGCCCCGTCCCCGGGCCCACACCTACGGGGGCGGCGGCGGAGACCACCCCCTCACGCCCCGGGCGAGAGCGCCCATTGCGCCTCGCGAGGCCCGCAGTGGCTCCCTCCTGGACACGCTCGGCCCCGGGCCCCGCTGCCGCCGCTTCCTGCACGCTTCCGAGGAGCTGCTGCGCCGCGTGCTGCGAGCCCAGAAGAACCGAGACCTGGCCCGCTCCTGCTCTGTTTCCAGCACGGACAGAGACGACGAGGACGAGAACGAGGGCCCCCCCGGCTCCGGCTCCCCGGAGCGGGCCCCCGGCGCGTCTCCCTCGCCAACTCCCAACTCGCGTCCCGAGCGCCTGGAGGCCGAGGGCACCGTAACTCTGGGCCGCGCCGGGGGCGCCCTGCGCCTGGCCGCTGAGTACAGTAGGGCCAGCGGGCGCCTCCGCGTCCGGTTGCTCCGTGCCGAGGGCCCGACTGGAGGAGCAGCCGAGCCCCGCGCCCCCGTAGGCTGCAGAGTCAGCTTCGTCCTGAAGCCGCGGGGCGCCGTGGTCCGGCGGAGTCGCAGGGCCGTCTTGGAGCAGGACTTGTGCTTGGACGGGCTCTCGGAGGACGAGGTGCGCCGCCTGGCCGTGCGCGTCAAGGCCGAGAACCGGGGCCGCGGACTGGAGCGGGGCCGCCTGCTGGGCCAGGGCGAACTGCTGCTGGGTCCCCTCCTGCTCCTCTGAGGGCGCGCTCTGCCGCGGGGCCTCTCGGACACTGATAGCCCCTTTGTACAAAATAAATGTGTTTTCATTCTTCTCAGGCCTTTGTTTACTCAGGTCCAGTATTGGCAGAGATGATACTGGATTAATTACCATGATAAAGGATGCTATATTTTGTGTTGTTCAGTCGCTCAATAGTGTCGCAGTCTTTGTGACCTCACTGACTGTAGCACTCCAGGCTTCCCTGTCCTTCATTATCTTCCGGAGTTTGCTCAAACTCATGTCCATTGAGTCAATGATGCCATCCAACCATCTCATCCTCTGTCAGCCCCTTCTCCTTCTGCCCTCAATCTTTCCCAGCATCAGAGTTTTTCCCACTGAGTTGGCTCTTTGCATCATGTGGCCAAAATATTAGAGTTTCGGCTTCAGCATTGGTGCTTTAAATGGATATTCAGGATTGATTTCCTTTGGGATTGCCTGGTTTGATCTCCTTACTGTCCAAGGGACTCTCAAGAGCCTTCTCCAGCAGCACAATTCAAAAGCCTCAACTTTTTGGCACTCAGCCTTTATGATCCAACTCTCACATCCATACACACTATTGGAAAAAACCATAGCTTTGGCTATGAGGGGGCGTCCCTGGTAGCTCAGACTGTAAAGAATCTGCCTGCAAAGGATAGGGAAGATCCCCTGAAGAAGGGAATGGCAACCCCCAGTATCCTTGCCTGGGGAATTCCACAGACAAAAGAGCCTGCAGGCTATAGTCCAAGGGGTTGCAGAGTCAGACACAACTGTTACTAACACACACACATTTGTCTATGTGGATATTTTGTGTAGATACTGTCAACATTCTTTTTTAGTAAACGGTATGGAGTTTTGCAATGGTGTTTCCCAATGTGGATAACCAATGGCATACCCAGGGTCTTATTGAGAGATAATGAATCACAAGAAGTATTAAAGTTAGAGGATTTCCTGCTGGTCTCTTTGCTCCAATATCCTCATTTTGAAGTTTGTTCATTCCACAACATCCATTGAGACCATCTTAGAACATGAATTACTTTTGAAGCATTGTTTTAGACCTTGATCGAGAAAATGAGATGGAGAGAGAGAAACTGACTTGTTAAAGGTCAACAGTGAACTGTTAGTAGGAACTCTGATCTCGTACTCTTGGCTACATCTTGGAAAAACATAGGAAGAATTGAAACCATTTTAATATTCTGAGCTTAAATAATAATTGTAATAGTTTTACAAATATCAGCTTATTTAATTCTTAAAACAACCTTAAAAACTGGTGTGGCTATATCCCCATTTTACAGATAAGAGTATGGAGGTACAGAATAAAGACAAGCAGAATTTTCACCTAAGTTATCAGTATTTTCCTCATTAAGCTGTATAAGTAATACTACAGTGTCTGAAAGGCTTATCTTACTAGTGTTGTGAAACTGCAACTAATATCTGAAATTGTTGACTCTGAGGCTGAGGTCTCACGTTTCTCACCCTCCAGTAGAAAAGCAAATACATTAAAATGAGTGATTTATCATCTCAAGCTGCTGACATCAGGCATTGAGATGAGCTGGGTCTACGATTGTCTGAAGTAGAAATAAAGGACCTCAGAGTCATAGAAAAAAGGGGTACCAGACTTATTGACACCAGGTGAGCTAATGTGCTAGAGCAGAGTCAAGAGTACCTATAATGTTATTCTTCCTCCTCTGGCTTCTGATGGTAATAATAGGTTTGTGTGGTGGTTTAGTCACTTGGGCTTCCCTGGTGTCTCAGCTGGTAAAAGAATCCACCTGCAATGTGGGAGACCTGAGCTCAATCCCTGAGTTGGGAGGATCCCCTGGAGAAGGAAATGGTTACCCACTCCAGTATTCTGGCCTGGCGAATTCCATGGACTGTGTAGGCCATGAGGTCACAAGGAGTTGGACATGACTGAGCGACCTTCACTTTTTTTTAAGTCACTAAGTTGTGTCTGACTCTTGCGACCCCATGGACTGTAGCCCACCAGGCTCCTCTGTCCATGAAATTTTCCAAGCAAGAATCTTGGAGTGGATTGCCACTTCTCTCTCCAAGGGACCTTCCCAATCCAGGGATCGAACCCACATCTCCTGCATTATGGGCAGATTCTTTACCACTAAGACACGAGGGAAGCCCAATTAAAAGTTTACTATGTTATAAAGGATGTTTTCCTTCATCCCTCAAATTCATTGCCATCCAGGCATATTGCTTCCTTTCTTATGCATATAGGAGGAAAATGTATCCTAAAGGAGGGCTGAAAATATTTAAACATGTGGTGTACTGATAAATATGACTGCATTATCAGTCTGGGTTTGGAAATGGTTTCTGCTTTTACTAAACTGCTGACAGTTTTATCCATTGGTGCTCATGAAAAATGCTATTTAGAAAAGAGATTCGGTTTTAATAATAGCTCAGGCATAAACTGAAGGTGGGTTATTATTATGGATATTTATAATGACATTCACTGAACAAATGTGAAGAGTGTGAATTCGTTGACTGTCAAAATTAGTCACATCTGGAAGCTCAAAGTGATTGACTAAATGATTGATGACATCACGGTAGTTCATATTTTTAACACATTCTTTTATCTACTCACAGTAACTGTTTCCTTGGTCTTCAAATAAATGCTTTAAGAAAACAAAATATATGTATATGGCTTCCTTGGTGGCTCAGACAGTGAAGAATTCACCTGCAATGAAGGAGACCTGGGTATATAATATATACAAAACCTTCTTAATCATTTAGAATTTTGGTACAGCGGCTAATACTGAGTTCACATATGCAGTACTTTAAAAGGAAAATATTAATAAATGTAAACTAAGAACAACCTGGGTATTTACAATAGCATTATGTTTTTATTTTTTTAAAAATACAGATTGCATTGATGGCTCAAATCATAAAATTTATTCCAGAAAACACTATAACCACGATTGTCACTAGATTATATACAAGTGACAATTTGGGGACAGAAGTGTAATTTTATTAAGAAGGTAAATCAGTGCAAATCAGGGACCTAAGTCTTCCATGAAATAACAGTTTGAGAATACCCAAACAGAATCTCCATTAATGTTAAGTCACAGTTGGTTAAATAATATAATAGCCTAATCAAAAAGATTTTTAAATGACTTAAATAGAATCATTAATCATAAAACCATGTAATTTTAGAGTTGAAAAGAATGCTGAGAATCATTTTGTACAAATCCATGTATCATAGTAGAGGACCAGAGAGGCATATTGTCGATTGCCCCATATACAATTAGTAAAAGAGCTCTTCACACAATTCTGTCTTCATTTTGCTCTTGGACCAGTGTTTCCAAGAAAGGAAAAATACTTGTGCCTAAATTATTTTACGACTGATCTAATGTGAATTTTTTGCGTTTAAGGAATCTTATTTAGAGCGCATTTTTGTCAAGACATGTCTTTCTAGGGGCAAATTTAGTTTGTATTTTGCTGCCCTCTAGTGGATCCCTCGAGTTCTGGCAGTGGGTCTGTCTTCTTCCTATTGGACCATTTCAACCAATCCAATGCCAGAACACAATGACCTTGAAAATGTGTGCTAATACCAGATGACAGCAAGAGTCACATCACAATAATAACTAAATATAGCTATCTGAGCATAAAAGGTGCCAAAATATTTTAGATTAAAAAAAAAACCTTCCCAGTAATAATGAAGCTGGGTGTGTGTGGCAACAGTTTGTTGATTGCAGAAAACTGCTTTAAGAGTTCTCATGTTTCTGGCTGAGTTTTAGGTACCCATTATCTTTCCCGTGAATGACACAGCACAATCCTGTCTCTTTGTGGTTTAATATCTGAACGTATTTTTTAAAAAAAACACACACACTATACAACAATAGGAAATATGTCGATTTAAATAACATTAAGTGCAAATTTAAAATCAAATCAACATTTTGGTCACTTAGCCTTGCTAAGACAATGCATTCTACATCTAAAATATTAGCTTTAATATGACTGAAACATGCCTAGAATATTGCTTCTTTAGAATCTAATTTTCTTTTACCCAGACTTCTACAATTCTCCCTAAATCCATCCCCAGGACCTAGGTAAAAATCTGTTAGTCAAAGATATTTGAGAGACAGAGCAAGAAGCGGGTACTATGTGATCCCTATGACATTAAAGTAATAAAAATATATAAGTGGATAAAAAGGTACCAAAGAGATTCATTTAGAACATCTATCATGTTCAAGATGCTACGTTTGTAGATGTAAATAAAACATAAAAGGTCCTTGCTCATAGGGAATTAACTTTCCAAAGCAAGGGTAAGAGACAATAAACAAATAATTTTAGTAGTTTTTAAGAAAATTAAATGTGCTAATGGTGAAGACTGTGACTTGGATGAAGCGGTACCTTAGATTGGATGGTTAAGAAAGGCCTGTATACTGACGCTGAGCCTCTTATGGTGACATACATATTACTGTCATTTTTGTGTGTGTGTGTGTGTGTGTGTTTTGTTTGTTTTGACACCATTTTATTAATCTTCAACTTCAGTGGAAAAATATAACCTTTTCAAGTGCCATTTTCATCACACAAGTTCTAATGTATATATGTGTGTGTGTGTGTGTGTGTGTGTGTGTATACACACACACACACATATTCTTTTGATCACTTGGTTTTGAAGTGCAGCAAGAGACCAATACCTCATTATAATCAATCAAATAAATGAGAACAGAAGGCCAAGCAGTTTCCAAATGGTTATTTTATCAGATTGTTTATAAACATTAAATTTATCCTTGTTTGCAATCCAAAATAGTTACCTGAAGTTTGCTGTTTGTATGTGTTTTGTTTTACTGTCATATTTTAACCCAATGTCCTGATCTGACGACTTCCTGACCTCCCAGGAGACCTGACAAGTGTTTTCTTACGAATTCTGCTAGTAAGTTATCACTAGTGAGAAATACTTCCTGTGGGATTCAGCATTGCTATGTAGGAGATCTGCCTCCAAGCTTATTAGTTCAACAGATGAAATTGACTTGAGGCAGCCAATAGGGTTT